TTTCAATTGCATCATGCACAGTCCGAAAAAAACCATGCGAGGGCCCCGGGGGCAGCATGAGCCTTGGCGCTGCTTTCGACTGCCAACAGCCTCCATGACTTCGAAGTGGATCACCTCGAGGATGGCCTTCCCCACTATACGCCGCAAGACTTCCCCAATGCCAATTGGCCTGACTCCAGGGCACTTGTTGAATGGAATCAGCCTACATGCGGTGTAGGCATCTAGTGACGCCGGGTCCACGTATGTAGTAGCGAAACGACGAGCACACTTGGCCATAGTGTCGCACAGTTGGTCCGATGTGTCGGCAAAGGATGTACACATTTGCCGCTAAGAGGCAGCATCCACCCCGGATGGACCGGCAGCTCCTTGGGTGTGTAGCGCGCAGCCTTGCGTAGTGCATCTCGGTTGAGTGATTCAAAGCATACAGGGTGGGGAGGCACGGGTGCCTGGCCCTGAAGCAGTATTTCTGCATGAGGAGGCTGTCCCACCGGGTGCTTGGCCTTGAGGAGATCCCGAACGGTGCTTCCATTGACGGAGTCATCCAGGTCCAGCACCCCTCCACGACCACCGCCTGCCAACATGTGGGTGGTGGAGCTCTGTTTCCCATTGGTCACGAGGTTTGCACAGGCTCTTGGCTTCATCGGCCCTGCTATTCAGGGATGACGTGTTTGCTTGCAGGAGGTGCTAGATAGTTCGGCATTCATAGAGAAGCTCGTCAAGCTCACCACGATTCTAGAGGTCAAGGCGGGCCTGGAGACTCTTAGCGAATGACTGATGAAGATGCATGTGGTTGTTGTAGAAGCAATTGCTGGAATACCAAAGCAATTTTGATTGCCTGACCCTCGTATCGACCTGCATCTCCAAAGCATTGCAGATAGCTGCTGAGTGTGGAGATAAATCTCTGCCTCTAGTTCTATGAGGCACATTGAATGTGTTCGGCCTGAAGTGCACTGCTTCCTCGTATGCTGCATGAATGGCAGCTTGCGTGGCTTGACTGTCCATTGTTCCAAGTGTAAACGGTCCTGTTGTTGATTGCACATGTGGAGGCAGTGAAATGTATGCATCTGCAGCGATATGATGTTCACGCTGGCTGTCACCCTATGTGGCGAGCAGCTGTTCTGCTTGACTGTCTCAGGCCACGTCCACGTGGATATCAGGATCTTTACCAAGTATCCGTTCTCGTCTTTCCAGGCTCAGCAGATTCGAGCAAGTCCCACGCTAGCTGTTGTGAGTTGGAAACAAGCGCGGGCGCTGAAGGGGCAGCGCCCAGCACTACCATGGCGAGTTCCTCGGCCGTGGCTGCTCTCGGGTTTCGTGCGATCGTCGCATCTGCCGTACCGCCAACGACAGTTACCGTACCCGTGCCCGTGGGTTGAGGCTTGGACGGTTTGCGCGCCGAGATTGTTGAGGCAGAGTGGAGATTTTGGCAACGGTTCTTGTTGGCGGGTGAACAGTTTGTGCAATTACGCCCGGCCTTCACGCAAGCACAGCCCAAGCAGGTGCCTTTAGTGCCGTTGCACCGACAACAAACACCCTGATCGGCTGACATGACTTGGGCGAACCACAATGCACAAAATCTACTCAAAGACCACTCCAGACCAGGAGCTGCAAAAACACAACCATACTGTCCAACGGCGAAAAAACCTGTCATTCCTTCTATGTGTGTGGGTTCACACATTGTACCGTTGTTGATCCTGGCCGCTCGACTTTGCGCTGTTCTATCACTTCTCCGCTGTACTTACAAGTATTTCATTGTTCTTGTTCCTTTGCTTTTTGCCTATATTCCCCTTGATGAGAAGGTATGACAGTGTAGCTGTTGAAAAGGTTCAGAAAATGTTGCTGTGAAGGACCTGCAGTTTGTTCTCTTCTAAGCGTCATTGTGTCTTTATCTCCGAGAACACTTTTTTTAACGTATTTAATATAGTGTGCTCACCAATTGTTTCCCTAAGGTCGTGTGCGATGGTGCACTTAGAGAAGATGTTGGAACCATTCGCCTGCAGAACTTCATTGTGCTACTCTCTGTTTCGCCATGATGGCACAGTTGCCATTGATTTCCTTTTTCACTAACCATCACTCTATGACAGGAGAACAAACAACGCCTTGGCATCATCAATAACAAGTTTGCATCTCACATCGATGTCGTCGAACAGCAGCTCAAATCCACCACCGTCGGTAAGTCTGCGACTATCTATGTATCTTTCCAAGCTCTTCACTTGAGGTTCTGTATACATGTCCAGCATATGAATGCATGGCTTTATCAGTTGTCTGATGATTGCCTCAGGGCATGAAACAACGAAGATGCGTGGTGCTCTGTGACTCTTTCCACATGTCAGTGGAACTAGCCGATGTGTTTTCACGTATTGTGATTTCATGCCACTGTATTTCTTGTGTGTGGTGGTGAGCAAGTACCTAGGTATTGGGGGCCTGAAGCCTAAGAGGAGACGTACAGTCGACGCAATCATGCGTGCATGCCAACGTACATTTTATAATGTGTGCTTATTATAATGACTGTGTGTGTGCTGCATTCTTTTGGATACCGACTGACGCGGTGTTATGTAGGCTTGGTGACGTTGGATGAAATGAAAGCGAAACACGAGAGTCTGGTGGAGCAGCATTCCAAGAAGCTAGCCGGGTAAGTTTTTTTGCCATGTGGCCCATAACTTTCTTGTCCTGTACACGAACCACTCTTTCGACTCGGTGCCATGTTGAGGTATGTTCTACTAAGCTGGCAGATCCCGGCCTGAGGGGTCCGTTCCCTATGTTTTCAAGATGGATGAAGCAAATAGTTCAAGTAGGATTTGGTGGTGGAAAGCTAAGCGACCATTTGGTGTGAATGATGTCAAGGCTGACTTATGTAGGTCTTCTTCTTATAGGTTGTTAGCTGGGTTTATCTTCAAATTCCACTTCGCCTGAACCAACACTTCTTTGATTGAGGTTTATCTTGATCAGGAAGATTTCAATCGTCACTTGTCTTCTCTGCGCAGTGCCGTCGAAGGAAAGGAGGAAGAAAAGAAGAGAGAAAAGAAGCGGAGGGAGGCAAACGCCAAGAGACAGTCCAAGCAAGTCCTATCATTCGGCGGTGACGAGGAAGACGAAGATGGTGATGGATCAAGTGACGACGACAGACCACCGCCACCGGCAAAGAAAAAGAAGTTTGGAAAGGACCCCACAGTCGACACATCCTTCTTACCCGATCAGGAGCGAGAGGCAAGTGCCCTGTTGGCATGCATTTATGTGTTTGTGTGTACGCCTGGCCATCTGTGACATTCTGAACCTGCTCGAATGCCGTCATCATGCTGAAATATAGAGCTAACACGAGTGACTGCACCAACTGTAAGGGAGTAGCTTTCCACAGTACATGCAGTTGTACAATGTCTTTTTGCCTTGAATAATGAACGGTGATCAAGTTTTTCCCTTTCCATTCCCTCACCTAATGTATAATTGGTGACACTCAATTTTTTCTTCAGACTTTTCCCGTTTGCAACTTTCCCTCAATTTAAATGTGTGTGTTTTTCTCCCGGTTTCTTCATCTCTTCCTCCACCATGTGTAGGAAGCTGAGAGGCGCGAACGTGAACAGCTGCAGACAGAGTGGAAGGCTCAGCAGGAGAAGCTGAAAAGTGAGATTTTCTTGCCAGAGCTGTGCTTTGATGTGCATCGTCTGTCAGTTTGTGTATGTGTGTGTGTGTGTGTGTGTCCGTTTGTCAGTCTGTCAGCTACCAAGATAGCATGCATGCCGGTTTGTCTGTCAGCTACCAATATGGGTAGTGGTGTATAGCTGTGTGAAGCTACCAAGATAGCAAACATATGTACACGTGTACAGTAAGCAATATGACATATCAATTGGTCCACTCTAATAAGGTAGCCACCTGTCCTGGAGTACAACCTCATGTACAGGAGAAGCCAGGACCAAGACTAGTGGTGGTACTTCTGGTCTAATGACTCTGGCTAAAATGATCACCTTAACGTGATGACCACATTTTGGGGTTCCGTAAGCGGGCGGGCGCCTAAGGTAGGTTTCAACAAAGCTCTGTTTAGTCATAATAGTCTGGGGGCCAGGGGGGGGGGGGGGGGGGGGGGTTATTTTTGATGTTTCGATCCGGGTAAGAGGGCACCAAGTTTTTTTTTCGATTTGAATGTAAAGTATATTCAAAATGCTGCAAAATGGTATGCCATTCAATCAAAATTTCCATCGGGAAGGTCATACAATGAAGGGGGAAAGAATTGATGATGGTTCCATGGCAACAAATCAGTTAATTCAAATTTACAGGAGAACTATGCGATATTTTGACAAAATTCCTGCTGGATATAAACAATCATATCCAATACGTATGACTAGTAGGCCAAGTTTGACTGAAAACAAATAAATTTCATGGTTCACGTGAGACTCGGCTGGAAGCCGGGCTTTCCGCATCCGTAGGAACGCCACCACCCTTCAAGGATCAAGGCGCAGATGCCGCTCCTAAAGCGGTGGGAGGTGAGTAGATCAGCTCACCAGTAAGTGGTCAAAGACCGAAAATCCCATTCACTGCATCCATGTTTTCCTCGTGCCAGGCCACGAGTTCCCAATTAACTGTGGGCCTCAAAGGTGAATTATAAAATCGGATCTACTGCAACTATACATTACTGTACATACGTAATTAAATATGCATGCATACACTGACAACTGTACAAATATATTGGTGACCAGTGTACATGTGACATCTATAAAGCCTATTAGAAAAGAGTTAGAAATGAATAGAGCAGTCTGTGGCCGATGGAGGTAACATACGTTGTAGCGCAGCGTCCTCAATCCGCACCTTTTCGCTTACTATGTCCATATCGTACTCTGTGTTCATCGCCCACACCAGGAAGTTGTGCAACAAACCAGGAACGGACTTGGCGCCTTCGTCTGGTGTCAGCGCAGTAGGTTCACTTTGATGCTCCTTGTCCATGGCAGCAGCATGGTCGGACATCTTGTTCCGCAGGATTCTGGCAGCATGATATACAATGCGCACTTCGTCCATTGCAACCAGCCGCTCATGTCTCCGTGTGGATGCAGCAGAACTGGAGTCACTATCATCGTGATCTGATCCAGAGTACGACTCAGACTCCTGCTCCTTGCTGGTCTGGCTGAACAGGTTTGCAATTATCTGCTGGGAATGCTCCGTTGCATACACGATTTCAGACTCATTCCGACTATCAGGGCGAGCAAAGTTTACTCGGTCAACAAAATGCCTTCGAAGCTTCTCCTTCACCGTATCCGCTCGTAGTTCGCTATGATCAGCATCAGCAGTCTCCCGTTTGCTATTCAAGAATGCTGTCAGGTCGGTCATCTTCGCTGGCAGCCTTTCGGTAAACAGCACTGCTTCCACCTTACACAGCAGAGCAGCAAACGATCTGTCCAGCGGACTTTCTTCAGTACTCAATTCTTCCATGTACGTACTATCTCGAGCAATCCGGTCTAGCGTCGCTTTCCTGGTGTAGTCACCATAGCACAACTTATGATAGTGCACTTCTCGCGCGATAAGGCTGCTCACAGAGCCAATAGCGATCAGCATTTCCTCGTCCTTTCGAACGACGGCTGCGTGTCTCAACTTGGCTTCCGCTGCATCCGTTTCCATATGAGATGTCTTCTGCATCGTGTTTTTCTTGGGCAAACGCTTCTCCAGTTGCTTACAAAAAATACAAATCTTGCTGCGAGGTCCAAACTGAGGCACGGAAACACTTTGACGCGTACTGCGCCTGCTCGACGCATCTCCATGACCCTCAGCACTCATTATTATTATTATTATTATTATTACTCTTTACCTGTACTTCATGGCTGGGAACAGCGCTGAATTCTGTCGTTGTGTTTATCGCCATCGACAAGAGTTTTATTGTCTTGTCAGAGATAAAGTGTAGCTCTGCGCTACTAAAAATTCAGTGACAAAGGCAGCCGGAATACTGGTCTCTACTCGAAGAGATATGAAGAGGAACTAGATAAGTGCTCTGGGTCAACACGGAGCCAGAATTAGGCATGTTCAAGTGTACAAAGAAGGACACACTGCGAGCTATACAGCACAACCAGAATTCAACCACTTGGCGCAGCGTCTTCATCTTTTATTTCTCGCCACGTGGTATTTTTTGAAACTGAGAGCTTTTTACGCATGCTGAGTGTCTCTCCTGAGATGCACTGTTCCGATGACATTTCGATGCACGTCATTTACTGTAAGACATGTATATATAACAAGGAAGCAAATCTAACGTTTTAACGGATGACATTTCTTCGTTATAATAAGATCCGTTGAGGCCGTACTGCTTCATATATGCTGTGTGTGGATATGGCAGAATACTGCAAGATCGTTAACATATCTTCTCGTTAACCTATGAATTTTGGACAATCGTTAAATTTGCGACTCGTTATAATAACATGTCTTACAGTAGGCGTTAATGGCGGCCAGGAAAGATGATCGATTTCGATGCCTTCCTGGGCGATTCACGGACTTATTTTTCTCTTTTCATGTAGCACCATGGTCATACTTCCGATCTAGAAAAAAAATTTCGGTGCCCCCTCACTCGGAACGAAATCTATTAGACGTGACTTTTTCCTAATTTGGCCCCGGACTATAAGCCCAGTTCCACATCAGTATCCCCTGAATACCTCACTGACTCTCTGTTTTTTTTTTCTCTCTCTCCAGGTGAGGAAATTGTAATCACGTACAGTTACTGGGATGGCACCGGACATCGAAAGGTCGCTAGGGTGAGTGTCACTTTTAATGTACATGTACCGTATCTTACTGGTTATACGTCTACCCCGGTTATAAGACTACCCCCAATACTTGGGGCCTCGATTTACCTGTTCAATATCAATATGATCAATAGTGGCTAAGCCCCTCGACTACCCTTTTTTTTTAAATTCGGTTTGAGGTCGTAAAGGGTCGACTAAAAACCGGAAAATACGGCACATAGAATCTACACAAGAATGACACTACATGTATTTTCTCTCAGTGACAGTGTACGGTGGTACATCATGTCAGCTCGAAGGTGTTCTCTGGGTTCCTTCCTTTACGATTCCTTTACAATTTTACATGTATAAGTCAGAAGTCAATAACTGTAAGTGCAACTGTGATTTTTGTGATAGTAGAGAGGTTCCGGGGTACGATTTTCCGTGCCGAAATCCGTATGGGCGCTACGGATTTTTTCCAGGCGTGCTCCATACGATTTTTCGGCATGGAGAATCCGTGTGGACTGGCTTTCATACGAACCATATTTCGTATGGAGATTTTGCGTCATCGAGTGCAGAAAGATTTTTCGCGTACAAATTTGGTACGAGAAACATCGATTTTCCGCGGGAAGTTTTGATTTCGGTACAAATTTTCAAAATAAAAAAGCATAGCGCGGGAATGTGACGTGTTTGCGATCGTAACCTAGGCAATGACGGCAAACACATAAGTTCCGTACCTCGGAACTTTTCACTGCTCGAAAACGACGTATAAAAAATCCGTAGCGCCTCCACGGATTTTGGCACGAAAAATCGTACTCCGGAACCTCCCTATTGTCTGTTTGTCTGTCTGGTAGTGTTGTCTGCTGCGTGTTGGTAAATAAAGCTTCGGCTCTCCTGATTTCTCTGCTCATAGATGAAGAAGGGCAACTCCATCCACGACTTCCTCAATGCCTGTATGAAGGAATTGCGGGACCATTTCACAGAGTTGAGGTAGGTGCACTTCTATGAATTTAGTCTGTGAGACACCCGCTTGCTGTGTACAACTGCAGCAAATGAACTTCAACCTCGTGTCCCTGGTGTCCTAGCTACGTGTATATGTATGAAACCTGGGCGGTAGAGTGCTTCACCACACAGTGCCAGTTTTTTTTTTTTGATGTGCCTGTTTAAGTCGTGGCCTTTCAGCCTTGTGTGGACTGTGTATTGTGTGCGCCCTTTGCCTTCAGAGGTGTATCCACGGAGAACCTGATGTATATCAAGGAAGATCTTATCATCCCTCAGGTAAGTGCCTGTGCATGTATGCTTGCACATGTCCGTATTCTGGGAAATATGCATGTTCGGAGTGTTTTGAATGTGTCAACCGCCTCGCATAAACAATTCAAACTACGTGAAGCAGCAATACTCAGATTTTACTCTCTCTCTCTCTCTCTCTCTTTTTTTTTTTTTGTAGTCATGCACAAATGGTCGGAGGGGGAGCTTCCTCTGTAAGGCTGCTTTTGTGATATTACTATTTTCATAGCTTCTGTAATTGTTATTTTCCTGCTTCTCTTTTTCTTTTTGATTTGCTGTGTGTAAACCTGTCTTTTTGATGTGCTGTGTGTAAACCTGTCTTTTTGATTTGCTGTGTGTAAACCTGTCTTTTTGATTTGCTGTGTGTAAACCTGTCCACCGTTTGCAGCACTACACCTTCTATGACTTTATCGTGACCAAAGCACGTGGAAAATCAGGTATGTGGGACCATTGTCATTAGGTTTAGGCCTGTTTTGGAACTCCACTTTAAATAAAGCCAAACAACAACAACATGTACTGGATACTGGTTGTAGATAGTAGACAAGGTGGTGCATGATTTATTTATTTTCTGGGCCTTTGTATCACCGACACATTCTGTTGTCATCAACAGTGCTCTGGTAGTACGTCAAGTCTCTTTTTCCTGGTGCAGTTCGACGAAACTCCAGGCAGTCATTGTGGGATGATCTAAGACCATGGCTGAGAAATAAAATAGATCTAACTTCAGTGTACTAGTACTCAGAGTGAGTTGCAGCAGCTCGAGGGAGAGTGCTCGATGCACCTAGGTGCAGAGCCTTATAACGTTAGGGAAAATAAAGCATGGTTGCTGTTACTTGGAGTTTCATGCATTACGATCATCAGTTCATCAGGCTGCACTGACTACAGTGTTCTAATGATGAGTTTGATGAAGGCTGCAACAGCAAGCGTGGGCAACTCAAGCGAATGATATGTGCCAATAGTGTAACGTGCACCTGTGTGAGGTGGGTGGGGGTGACATGATATTATGACAGGCACTGACAGCATACACCGAAGGGCATGCAACCACCTAGTCTGCGAGTTTTAAAAGGAAGCGAGATGAAGTGGAAGTGGTGCGGGGAAAGGAGAAAGAGTCAAGTTTCAGGTTCCTCAGCGCCAAGCCAAAGAATTGCATGATTATCGTCCCCGGTTGTCCCAAAAATTGGGGCTTCCCAGTGTTGTTTTATCATTCCTGAGATTTGACATAGTACACCTGTCAAAGCCAGGTCCAGCGCCCTCCGCAGCATGCGACAAAGGACGGTAATCAGTCTTTTTTGGCTTGGCCTAAAAGAGTGCTCTATAAAATGATGTACAGTTGTTAGAACAGCACGAGTCACTCAGGGTGCATGCCGCAGAGAGGATGTGTGGGAAGCCATCTACTGGAAACGAGAACCTACATGTAGCACAATGCAATAGGGAAAGTATGCTTTATCCAGGGTACTTAGCACTGAAGCTTCACTGTATCTGCTTTCCTCGCGCATGTACAGATGCATGATAATTGCTCATCCCCGTGTTGCATATTGATATTCCATGCTCGTTGTCGTCTTGTTTTCTGGCTCGTTCACTTGCTTCCAGGTCCTTTGTTCAGCTTCGATGTTCACGATGATGTCCGAATGGTGAACGATGCTAACACGGAGAAACACGAGGTGAGTACTGCAATCTTGCTGTCCTCTTCATTTTTGTTGTAGATTTGTTTTGGCAAACTGCTTTCCCGCGGCCGCATGGTGCATGCTAGATGTGGCAGGTGAAGTGCAACTTCTGGTCCATGACTGTATTGAAAATTCGATACCACACAGTCTCGATTTGATCTCCGCCATTGATATGGAGTGCAGGGTACAATCACCTGATGGCTGATGTAGCTGTGTCCACCCATGCGCAGAATTGTGTTTGTCAGGCCTGTAGCTCACTGACTTGGTTCTAACTCCATCACATGCTCCAGCACATGTACTCTCTGGCCAATCTCATTCACACCAGTGACATGACTCCAAGCTACCCTCCGATTATGCCCCCTAACTCAGTATGGAGTACTCAAGAATTGACACAGTGCAGTGTAAGCTAATGCCTGGGCAGGGCATGAAGCGGCAGCTCCCAGTGACCGTGGCGTTGCTCTTGACTTGTTTCGACGAGTTCCAACGTGCATCCCTCCTGTTGCTGCTGACTGAACAAACTGAACTCACGTATCACATTCATTGCTATGCGCATGTTACTTGAAAATAATCTATTTTTCATCATATCCTACTACTTCGAAGTACCCACGTTTCTTCTATTGCATTTGTGGCGATGTATTCCTCAACACATCAGGCGATGCGGCCGCGAATCCGGCTAACTTTTTTTTCTTTAAAAAAAATTGTGGCATGTCTTGTGTGCTGTACTTCTGCAGTCTCATGCTGGTAAAGTGGTGTGCCGTAGCTGGTACGAACGTAACAAGCACATCTTTCCGTGCAGTCGATGGGAACCCTACGACCCGGCCAAGAAGTGGGAGACATACACGGTATGTATTCGTAACGTTTTTCAAAGTACACATTCTGGCGTTAGAAGATCAGCTGTAGAAAAGGGAGAAGTTGTGCGGGTTTTTGTACTGTGCGCAGATGGGTTAGTTGTCTATTGTGTGTGGTATTGTGCTCTGGGTTGACTTGGGCCCTGGGGTATTGGTCCCAGTCAGGTATGTCTTGCACAAAAAATTAATATTGTTAATGCGCTTATAATTCTGAACCAAAGTCTCTGTCATCCTGTTGTGTCACGGCCACACTCCGCTGTAGGCGTGTGTTGTGAAGTGTGTAAGTGCATGACTTCGGTTTTCAGGGCGTGCTGTGCAGCACACTCTACTTACGTAGGCGTGGGTTCGAATTCCACTTCTGACGCCATGTTACGACCACAACATGGGAGCAGAAAAGTGACTTTATTTACAAAGACGTTGAGGTTTATACTGAAGCCAGTACCGTGAGAGGGGGTGTGGTGTGGGTACGGTATGGCCCTTGATACCTGTCAAATATGGCATGAATAATTGTGAATGGGGACAGCATGTGACGACTACTTCAGTATATCCCTGGTGCCAGGTCACTGCTCTAACTACTGTTGCTTTGTTCTTCCACTTCTGCACTGTAGATTTCTGATGGGCCCAAGCCAAAGTGAGGCGTCAGAACGAGCTCTGATCCTATCTAGTGCTGTTGAAAAGTTGAGCTGCCAGAAACACACACATGGCTTGGAAATGCTGGTCAGTTCCTGCTTGATGAATATTACGCAGTGTTTGGAGCTGCTGCAATTGTTGAATGTGGCCTTTCCTTAAATTGTTATAAAAAATTATGCCTCCCTGGCTCTGACCTGACCCTGTCAGATTTTGTCTGCTTCCCTCAACTGCTATCTGTTGTACATACTGCTGCTGTAAATAATGCTGTGACTGCTGCTCTTACTGTGATTTCTACCATTACTAATGCTTTTTAAAATAATCAAACGTATTTGTGCTGTTGCTGGCAGCTGTACACGGTAGAGACTATCGCTTTCCTTTGATCACCAGTGCCAGCATATCTATTGTTTATAGTGATTCAGCTTGAAGTGGCTGCTTGTACATACTTACTTTGCTATGTCTCCGTTTTGGGTTGTGCTGCGTCTTTCTACGCGTATCTGCAACCCAATTCCCTGCTCATACTGCTGATTAGTGATTCTTCTTTTCACTCACTCTTGACCTCTGCAATGCTTTTCTTCTGCTGTAAAAGTTTCCCATGTGTCTGTGTGACCTGCATGCCAAGTAAAAAGATAGGTGGCAAGAGTTTGTAGTCAGAGGGGAAGGAGGAGCAGTATGGACTCTTGCTGGTAGTGAGCACTGAGAAGCACAGGTTGAGTCCTGATAGTGCTGAATTGGTACTGTATCCTGACCACTTCGAAGAAGATCTGCATATTGGTATGTGCATAGCATTGGAGAGCATGGAGCATGACATTGTGAGTTCGCTGGTACATGTACTGTTGTGGACATGGAAATCCGGTCGCACGTCTAGCGGCCCCAGGGCGCTGGCCATGCAGCCGTGGATAAACGGTACACATGTGCATTTATACGCTGCAGCGCACTGGTCCCATCGGATCAACATGTGCACTGCACGCACAGTGTAAGCGCTGAGGGCGCCGGCCCCGGTCAATCGACTGGATTTCCATGTCCGCTACAGTACATGCACATTGCACTTGTACTCTGGGAACAATGCACAACTTCATCATGTGTGGGAACGTGGACATGTCATAATATTATGTAAGCACATTTGCTTTGCCTGTATAATATACATGTACAAGAAAGAGGCTTTTCGACATGACAATCTGCTATGCCTGAATCGTGAAGTCCACTCGTACATGTACAATTGTGATGTTTCCTAAAACAAGAGTGAGAAATGTAACAGCCGGTATTTTACTACTCTCTGATGTCTGATGATGTGAACAACTGAAAAAAGGAGAAAAAAAGTGCTGAGGCAGGGTCCCACTACCAGGAATGGGGTTCGAACCCATGTGTGCATACGCACATTGGATCTTAAGTCCAACGCCTTAACCACTCGGCCACCCTGGTTAGCACAAAAGCTTTTTCGCAAAATGGTTTTAGAAGGGTAGTGTGCCGCTGTGTGGGTCCATCACGGTCCGGCGTTGTACGATCATGATCAGCTGACGTCAAATGGCATCATGCATGGCATGACTGTCTGTTTCACGTTTCACGTCGATCTACGGAGATCTACGTGACTAGGCTGCGTGTCATGACGTGGCCGGCCGTGGATGCGTAGCTCTATACAGCTAGCTACGTCTACGCGCAGTCGCGTGGCGTGCATGCAACGCGTGCACGATGGATGAAGCCAGATAACAGATAAATCAGGAGCTCGAGGCCTCGAGGGTGCAAATAAAAGCTTTGCTCACGCTCGACCGTACCGGTCTATTTTTGTTGTTGTAATCAGCCACACTTCCTCCAAAGACACACAAACTCAGATGTCCCTGTTATTTTGTGTAGTCGAAGTCGAAAGCCAGACATCTACAGTCAACTTCGCTAATAACGACTGCGGATATAACGACAATTCGCGAATAGCGACCGAATTTCCATGCCCAGAGCAAAGTCCCATCTAACTGTATACATTTAACTTCGGATATAACGACTATCTGAATAACGACAATTCGCGTATAGCGACATACTTTTAGTGCCCCGAGGTCATATTCACTGCTTGAATAACGACTTTCTGGGCTTTTGACAGCTATCTCAAGTACATGTACCTGTCAGTCAAGTACATGTACCTGTCATGCAGAAGTACCAGAACCTATGGTGATGGATATTATTATTAAAAAGGCACACATGCAAGAAAATGCAGCCAAGGGGGGGGGGGGGGCTTTTTCTTCCTTTTTTATGTTGGCTTCAAAATTGTTGGATTTACCAGCACACCTACATGTATATGTATACAATGTACATGTAGTTGTACATGATTGTACAGTAATCATCACACATGTACATGTCTCTGGCCCTGTAGATGGCTCAAAAAGGCATATTTTTCAATTAATTTCCCTTGCATATTGAATTTTTAGTTCCTTTCAACTGCAATATGAAAATAAAGTACACATTGACATAGAGCAAGAAAAGAGCTTGATTTTGATATGCATGTCATACTATTCAAAATGTGGGTTCACATACATTCAAATGGGACTTCGGTTATAAGGACACTTCGCGAATAAGGACACTTTTCTGATGCCCCGCCGAATGTCGTTATTGGCGAAGTTGACTGTACAACTAAACTACAGACCAGCTTGCAATAATATTTGGGCCGTGGTCGTTATATTTCCCTGTCGAAGATTCTATTATTGTTCAAGAAGATCTGACTGGCTGCGGTGAGCTGGACCTTGCATGCCTACAAGGATTAAGAAAATGTTTTTTGGTCACCTGTCCGGGGAGTACAGCTAGCAGCTCTAACAACAATGGCAGAGAACAATGGAGACAGAAGGTGAGTATTTTCTGCGATATTCTCAATGCACGTACAATGGGATGTAGTGACTGCGCCTACCTGATAAGCATGGCTAGTACCCGTAATGCGCAATTTTCTCATCATTATAAACTAATGTTTAATACGTTGGTTTTCCAAGACGGTGAATAGATCTCACTTACCTTTGCACCTGCCATTGGATCCTGCTGCCATTTTTCTGTGGCAGTGGACACTATTATCATGTATGTAAGTCAATACAGTAAACCTGCTAGGGGAACCACTCAGATAAGGCATCCACCTGTCCTGGAGCAGGCGTTTTCCTAGGCAGCTTCTGACTTGGCGTACAGTACTGCCGGGCGCCGAAGAACGAACAGGCTAGAATTTTACCAGGCGCAGGATGCGCGCATGTACATGGTGGCTCAGCCATACAGAGATGTTTACATGAAAAATAAGAATGGCCAAAGCTACGACTCTGAACCCCCAGTTCTTCGACAGCAGCCAGTGCTGTACACGCCGCTCCGCACGACACGCTATTGGGTAATCTGAAGGTGCGTCCGTGTGAGCTCTCGTTCGAGCATCTAAAAAAGAGAAGAAAAGAGGACCTTTCTCTTGCGAAGCAAGTCTAAGAGCCGAAAAATGCAGAAAGCCAGATTTGAAAAGGAGAACGCATGAAATTGTTGCACGGAGCTCACATGTGACGTTAGGACAGCACTTGATTTGGTGCGTGCTTGAAAAAGCGCTAGAATCTCCTCGGTAAATGCCAGAACGCTGCTGAGAGTCCCTCTTATCTTGTAGAGTCCGCCCGCCTGCTTCTGCGAAAGCAAGAAAGTGTGTGTGTGTGTGTGTGTGTGTGTGTGTGTGTGTGTGTGTGTGTCCCATATGGTGCAGTGGTATGTGCAGCGATTTCCAATCGATAGGTTGCGGGTTCGATTCCCGACGATTATGGTCACACACGTCTTTCTTCTCTTTCTCAGACTCTTCCTGACTTTTCTTTCATTCTCCTGGGTGGTTACCAACAGCCAGTGTATGCCGGAGTATGTGGTGTGGTGTGTGTGTAGAAAAAAAATGGAAAAATGAAAAATAGGGATTCACTGGCCAGAAAAAGTCACTTCAAACAGCTGTGTGGTGGATACCAGGCTAAAAAATAGTGGCGGTCAATTCATCAGCCTTGCAAGCTGTTGAATGGTGTAATCCCAGCACAAGTTGCTATGTCTAACATAGCTGTTCGCTATCATCGCTTCCGCGATGGGCATGTCTGAGGTCTGAGGTGTGTGTGTGTGTGTGTGTGTGTGTGTGTGTGTGTGAGAGAGAGAGAAAATGAAAAATAGGGATTCACTGGCCAGAAAAAAAGCTGCTTCAATCAGCCGTGTGGTGGATACCAGGCTAAAATTAGTGGCGGTCGATTCATCAGCCTTGCAAGCTGTTGAATGGTGTAATCCCAGCACTAGTTGCTATGTCTAACGTAGCTGTTCGCTATCATCGCTTCCGCGATGGGCAGGTCTGAGGTGTGAGGTGAGAGAGAGAGAGAGAGACAGACAGACAGACAGGCGGAGGGAGGGAGAGAGAGAGAGAGAGACAGACAGACAGAGAGAGAGAGAGCATATGTGCTGTGTGTGGGCAATGCGGTTTTGTTTGTTTTCGCTCTCGTTGAATCGCTTCTCACTGGTGTGGTGTTTTTTTCGTTTGTGGTCTGTCTGCTTGTGTATTCAGTGGGTTGGCGCTGGACCGCGTGCGCCGGGCATCCTTTGACTGGGACTCTGTGGGTTTCTTTGAAGGAGCGGAGAAGTTGCTGGAAATATGGTTCGAGCTTCCCTGTGATGAGACTGGTGCTCGCAAGGGAAAGTCCCTGCGTTCTATCAGCAGGTAAGGTCTTCGGTGCCGGTGATCTTTGCATGCATGTTGCGTGTTGTGCTGTAATACGTGCTTTCCCTGATCATATTGACACGTACTGCTTTCCCTGATCATATTGACAAGATTGACTGTATCTTGTGGGAAGAGGGGGAATATGGAGTTTAAAAACGGAGGATAGGTCCGGAGATTCAAAGATCACTGACTTCTCCAATTTTCTGTCTCTTTCTTGTATGTGCTGGTATGTTCCGATACAGCCAGTATTCATCCCTGGGGAATTTTTGCTTGGGGTTCCATTCTGCTTGGGCTTCCATTCTGCTTGGGCTTCATGTTGATGTCAAAAGACCAAAGATGGGTATATGAGTAGTTGTCTGGGTGTTTGTGAGGTGCTATGCTTTTCTCCTGGCTGATTGCAATTTTAAGCTTTCATGCCCTGAGGCAGTGTTGAGGCTTGACAGACCCTCATCGTCATTTCTGGGCCGCTGGCAGATCCTTATGTGTACATCTATACGACAGACCCTGTGATTTGAAAATAGGTGGCGAGTGATCTATGGCTCTCCTCGCCTGTGTCAGGCGAGCTGTAGGAGAGTGATCCAAAAATTCTCACTCCAACAACACAGCACATTATAATATTGATATCATTTTTTTAGAGAAAACATTCTGGATGCTTTCTGAATTTCCACCATTGTCTTGAAAGATGACAACGGTTGGCCGTGAACTGCCATCAAATATGCAGTGTGGAAGAGCTTTCCGTATGCGTCCTCCGCTTGGACTAGAATAGCTGTGTGGATGCTTGGCTGCTGAGGCGCTTGTGTTGCCTTGCTCCCTGATGCAGACGTCGACGATGATTTGTCGGTGTCACCCAATAGCTTCGCATGGCTCACTCCGATGCTATGCGCCTACATGACAACAAGCGAAGAAAACAAGGAGAATGGTCGCGAGTCCGATCGACTTTACTTTCGACATTGAATTGACCACTTACCTGTCCAGACAAATGTCGAGTGACAGCGTGCTTCGTCACGTAGTCCGATCCCTCCACAAACCTCAACGCATCGACCTTCGCTTGACCTCTCAGCCATAGAGTCGCTCCGGATAACGTCAGAATACTTCGCACACGACTTGCACCACACTTTCACGACCAGCGCTTTACCTTCCTTCTTCACCGAATTGAAGCCTATGTCCTCATCTCCTTTCCAGCTGAGGAAAGTGGACAACTGCACACTGTTCCCTTTCGACATTTCTACTGCTAGCAGCAGCAGGAGATCACCAGCAAGGGATCATGTCGCAAGGAAAGAAAACAACTGGTATGATCAACTCCAGTTGACCAATTGGCCTTTTATTCTAAGAGTAAGAGGACAAAAGCGCCATTTGGGTGCATTTACTTGCAACGCATGCACTAGCAGAACTACCAGCACTACTAGTCTATGTCACACTACTAGTCTATGTCAGACTACGGTCTATCTGGCTACTCGGACCCGCCAGGCGCCAGTTCAGAGGGTTGTACGGGCCCCTGCGCTGCATGCAGGGGTCCGTAAAACCCGCTGAACTGCAGTGTTTCATGAGTGGTGGTAGATCTACGCGGCACAGCTCTGACTAGTTCAAGCCGCAATCTGCCAATCATTCATCCAGACGTGTGAAATGCCCCGAGGTCATGCCAGGCTAGCTGGGCGCCATGCCAGTGCAGTGCCTGTGTCACACTCACAGTGTACGTGCAGTGAACTTGCCTACTCAGTACTGTGCATGTCACTACACATGACTAACTCACTGTCTAGTCTGTTTCATAACAGCGAGCGGGCACAGTTCCGGCCTGCGCACGGATCGATGAGTGCACTTGACACCATACACTCGTACTAGTCATAGTACAGTAGTAGTTGCGCTGCACTCCGAAAAGCGTACATGCAGCCAAAAATAGTTTCAGGCGCGCGACAAAAAGTGCACCTTCCAAGAAAATAAGGCGCGCGATGGCGCGAGAGCAATCGCTCGCCTCAAATCACAAGGTCTGATACGAACATTGTAACGTGTGTCTGTCTGTTGGCGTCGGTGTATGTGTGGATGGATGTGTGCGTGTTGGTGTGCGCATGTGTGTTGGTGTAAATGTACATGTGCGTGTGTGCGTGTCATTGTGTGGGATGTTAACGTTGCAGGGAGAACTGGGAGACTGTGCTGGAGCACGTCAGCTGCAAAATCATCAACATGAAGTCAAATGATGTCACTGATGCATACCTGCTCAGGTAAGTAGTTTAAACTACTGTACTACTAGTTGCAGACTCCGAGCTGGACATTCTTCCCTGCCAATCAAGAGATTTTGAGAAGTGCATACGATCATACAAGAGTGTTCCTCAACATTCCCCGTATAGCTTTGAACCGGTGCCTCCCGTTGTTGTCGTATTCCCAATCATTAGCATGGCATGTCACATACTTTGGCAGGTGGGATTGGATGCTCTCGAGGCTACAGTTGTTAACTTGTTATTCTATTGTGTGATTTGTGGCTGCATGTTGATGCAGTGAGAGTAGTATGTTCATTGCCGAGGATCGCTTTATCCTGAAGACCTGTGGTGTCACCACGCTGCTGGCTGCTGTGCCATCGCTCATCAGCCTTGTTCAGCGCGAGTGTAACGTCGTCAACGTCAGGGTGAGTTTTCTTTCGGTGGTATTGTGGCGAGTGGTGCGTGCCGGTGTGGGTGTATTAGGTGTGGTTAGTATGTTGACATGCCTATCTGCTTGTCTCTGCATGTGATGTGTTATTTTTCTACATCTTGCATTCCTTTTTTCTATTTCTTCCCATCTCAATCTATCAGTCACCTCCGCAGTATTCAAGAGTATACTTGCATCGGTATGTTCGTGCTAGCCGAAGTCACGCCGTTTCCTGTGTCCCGGATGATTCAGCTTGTGCAGCGAATGCGCGTACACTCGCACACACGCCGTATCTTGACGTTTTCCTCTTTGATCATTTCGTTGTCCTTTGTCACCGCATATCCAGGACATTTTCTACTCTCGGAAGAACTTTGAAAAGCCCGAGCTACAGACACAGATGCACCGGCGCTTTGACGATGAGGTTGCCTATCTAGACAAGATTTTTTCAAGTAAGATTTACCCCATGCACGTGTCCTTTTCTTATTCTCTTCTTTGTTCTGCTTATTGTTGGGCGAGGATGGAAAAGTAAAGATGTATCCTTCCAGGGTTGCTTGCACACGTTGACCGTGGTTGTGAACCGATATCATAAGATAACAAATCACACTACGGAGTTTTGTTAATGCATAGCATTAGTACTCAATGACCCAGCCATGCAGTCTTTGCAGATACGCATACGTTAAAACTTAAATGCGAATGAACATCTTTAACCCCTTATAACTGTTGTTGATGGTGTAATCACATGCACCGCTCACGGGTGGAGAGAGAGAGAGAGAGAGAGAGAGAGAGAGAGAGAGAGAGAGAGAGAGAGAGAGAGAGAGGTTTTGAGTGCTCTTGTAAGTTTTATTTTCTGTGTATGTGTGTGTTTCAGACGGTGCTGCCTACTGCATGGGACGCATGAACGGTGATCGATGGTACGTACCTCTCGGTTTTCTTTACTGTTCTCTTGCTTCACTGTGTGAGGATCTCATATACCGGTATCTGGAAAAGGAACTACCTGTAGTTTTTAAGCTTTGCGTTCGATCCACTCATCATAGTGACCAAGTACAAAGTTACGAGTGCTGTTGACGTGTGCCGCATAGAGCTTACTGTGTATCCTCTGTTATTGTTCTCTGTTTGAAGGTACCTGTACATGTTGGACCAGCCACTGCCTCGTATCGTACCTGACCAGACACTGGAGGTAGGCTGTGTACTGTTTGTTGCGCCTGGTTTGATTGATGTGGGGACGGTGTGACAGCGTGACGGTATTCCCCTGGCCCATGGATAAATTCTGCCAAAATCACAAGATTCGTTGCATTCCAGACGTGAGCCCGCAGTACTTGTGCAGTTGTCGATGTTTGGGTTTGCTTCTCGCTGATTTTTTTACTTGTGTGTGTTTATGTTTCAGATTTACATGGATAATTTGGATACAGAGACCATGACTATATTTACGAAGAAACACAGTGCCACAGCAGAGGATGCCACTCGGGTACGCTTCACCACTCAACTAAGCACTCATTGTGTGGGCTAGGTGTGCTCATGTCTTCTTGTCTAGTTATAGGCTAAAGTTTTGTCTCTGTGAACACTGAACTTCGGGGTTGGATGAAAAGTTATGCGAAAGACAGAATTCTGCTCCCAAGATATTTGTGTGTATCCTTGTGTAAACCTCCATGTATCTCTAGCGCATTGTCTTGGTGGCCCTGACATGTGCTACGTGCAATTGTATTCCTTTCCATGGCTGGCTGTGTGCTCACTTCACGGGACTAACTCCTTCTTGTGTGTGCATGTGTGTGCTTGTGTGTACACGTCTGTGTGCACGTGTGTGTGTGCGTGTGTGTGCTATGGTCGTATGCTTGTGCTGTGGGTGCAGGTGTCAGGCATCAAAGACTTATTCCCCGGTGCTATCATTGATGATGCTCTGTTCGAGCCAGTCGGCTACTCAATGAATGGCTTGCTCGGCGTAAGTACATGTACATGCACTGGCACTGAGTTCTTCTTTGTTACTGGTTTCATGCTGTGCTTTCTTTGCTTCTTCTTCCCCTGTTCGTAGTGTGTAGTTTGTTACTGGCACTCCATGAACTGCATTGAAACAAAGAACATCCTGTTGTCGTCTTTGGAGACTTTTTTTGTTTTGTTTTCCGCACGGTACATGTGATACTGTAAACTAGACATTTTCGCCAGTGCTTTATTTCCAGTAATTTCTGTGCGCCCTTTTCATGCTAAACATAAAGGGCCTGCCTAGTTTTCAGCCGGTGGGTTCTTTTAGGTATACGCACACACAAAAAGCAGCAATGGCGATGCCATGCAATGGCCAGAACTGTGAGCAGAAACCTGGAGGCGGAAAGTTTTCTATTTGTTTGTGGCAGCTTGTGAGCGCACTGTTTCATAGGCTTTACTTTGCAACCAACAAATTTCATACCAAGAGCGCTGTATTTCATTTTCATTTGATTCCATTCTCTCTGCACACAAGCCATAAAACTACCCGAAATAGAGATATATACATACTTGCATCGTGTGTTCTATTTGTTACAGTGCAGTTCGAATTGGTGAAGAATATTCTGACCCTGTTTGAAAAATAACTGCTTGGTCAGCTTCTATGCTAGGGGAATAACCTCGTTCTAAAATGGTGCATGGCATTTCGGGCCGAATGGCTTGTTACCACCCTCCATGTTAGCCCCCGGGCTACCTTGTCGGGCGCTAACAAGCCATAAGGCTCTCCTTGCTATGCACTAACCTATGCACTGTTAAACCTATAATTCTAGCTGGACCTGTGTTTGTACATATCAAATGGATAGTCAAGCATCTGCTAAATATGTCTGCATGTCTGTGCTTGTGCGTGTGATGGTGTGTACTTGTGTGTGTTGATTTCAGGATTGTTATTTCACTATTCACATCACACCACAGCCAGAGTGCTCGTACGCAAGCTTTGAGACCAACTTGCCGCAGGTGGGTGGTGGGATTTGCCCTGCACAAGAATTAATTTCCGTTGCTTTTCTCACGTTATCCTCTCTTCTCGCATACGCACAGTGCATGCTAGTGGGTACTACATTCGTGTCGCTCAAGATCGCGGCCCCTTTGACGCTTCACATGTGCGAAAGATCTCCAAATTCTTCGAGACCCATTCCTATATTATTCAACTTTTTCGGGAGAATTTGGCTGGAGTTTTGAGTTTATCGGCAAGGTGGAGATGAAATTTGAAAATGTTTTTCGGTGAATCTCTGGGGAGGAGCCTTCTCTAGCCTCTATTAAATAGTTATATTTTTACTTTTGGACAACATTTGAAAACGTTTTATGAAAGATCCGTGGAAAAATAACACAGACTTTTCATAAAACTTTTTCAAATGTTGTACAAAAGTAAAAATAAAACTATAGGAGGCTAGAGAAGGCTCCTCCCCAGAGATTCACCGAAGAACATTTTCAAATTTCATCTCCACCTTGTCGATAAACTCAAAAGTGCAGCCAAAATGTAGTCAAAATTACTCCTAAAAAGTTGTACCCCCCCCCCCCTAAAAAAAGTAGGTGACAGTGGTTCGGTTTCTTACTAATGCTCTTGGAATGCTTCCTGCCCTTGCTGGTGTGTTCTGCTTTGATCGTTTGCAATATTGATATGCCAAATAATGTGCAACTAGACTTGGGAGGGCATTGCAGAGTAGCTGCATACAAAGTTCAAAGTTGTACCAGGCCCGTAGCAGCCCCATTTTGGTTGGTCCGGCAAGATCCGACCTCGATGCTGCTCCCCCCCCCCCCCCAGCCCACACTCATATATATGCCGGTACATGTACAAAATCATCACGGTACATGATTTTGCGTGTATGTGTATGTAATCGTGACCATGCAGAGTGACATTTGGCGAGAAAAGGAAGAAGGATCTTCTGCACGAGTCAGGAAAAAGGGCATCAGCATGTTGTGTCCGTCCAAACAGAACTTATTGAAGCCTATGAAGGCATAGCAACAGTATCTAAATGCATGTGATACAAGTACCAAAATGGATTTTTGGAGGAGGAAAAAGGACATTGCAATAGAATATCTTTGGTATAAAGTGGATCTAGAAAGAATTGGGGGGGAAGAAAAGAATCCATACATTTCAGGAAGTACGGAGTAGGAACATTCACGGACATGACTGTCCAGTACTCCAAGGCATGTACATGTCACGATCATGTCAACTGGCAAAGAAGTGCAGGAAATGGGCTAACACATCCACAACTAACTTGGCACAAGCCAGTGGTGAAAAGTGATAATTACTAGTATATTATCGTCAGCAATGATTAGATGTAGTCCATAGTGAGTAGCAGTTCACAATGCACTGAATGCTGCTGCTCTCAAACCTGTTGTTGCTATGCGTGTTTCCACTGGCAGGATTCCTACTCGGACCTGGTGAGTCGTGTGATTGAGCTGTTCAAGCCCGGCAAGTTCAGCTTCTCGTTGTTTGCGAATCAGGTGAGTTGCCGCCTTCGACCCAGAGACCATCCGCTTGGTAGAAAATTCGAGTGTGAGAAGTTTGAGTGTATTTCTCAAAGCACTACAGTCCATATAAAAACTATAGACGCGCAGTGTTTTTGAAATATTTCAAATTTGGCTGGAACGTTTTGAGAATAGTTTTCGGAATACAGTGGTCCCTCTATAATCCGGCACCATTTGTGCCACGAAAATCTGCTGGATTAGGGAGGGTGCTGGATTAACAAATCTGATTTACTGCTGCAATGTGCATGAAGAGGACATTTTGGCTGCTGAAAATTGTGCTGGTTTATCGAGGGTGCTGGATTATAAAGTGCCGGATTAGAGAGGGACGACTGTATTGCTCAGGTCCGCTCCACAATTACTCTCATTTAGTTTCTAAACGATTGGACAACAGACGCCCAATTTGGAAAACTTTATGCACAAAGTGATCACAGATTTTCTGTTGTATAGATGCTGGCATAACGGTTTTTGCCTAGGTACGCGTCTATAGTTTTGAAATGGACTGTAGCAATGTTTGGACTGATCCTGTGAGCTCGGGCTTACCGGCAACTGCTCTAGCTGGTGATGCCTGCTGCCTTTGTTGGGCCGTATTTCCCCCATGTATATGTTTTTAAATTGAACGTTTGTCCGCTGTGTGGATGTGACATGCTGCTTGCTTCGTTTGTGTGCGTGTGTTGGCGTTCATGTGTGCCCATGCTATTCTGTGCTTTTGTTCAGTCCTCGTCATGTGGTGCCAGCCTTCATGCCGTGGACGAGCGTCATGTCAGTGGTTACCGGCGCTGCGACAAGCAGTACAGCGAGTTTCCCAACCAGTACAACCTGACGTTCTGCCATTACATCAAGCTGGACTCACCGCGCAAGCCGTCCGGTCTGTTGCCCGAGTGCAAGATCAACGGATCGTCGCACTTGGCTGCGTTGCTTCAGTCTTGAGCACCCGCTTCTTCTTTGAGCCATCCCTGACGATACAGAGCAAGTTGAGAGTTGACTGCATAGCATCTGTAGCACAAGGCCACTGGCTAACTCAATCCTTCTTGGTTGTTGTTGTACATACTCAGTCCTCTTACTGGCTGACCTACTTCGAAGTACCGGTATCTAGTGTTGTCATTAGTGTACGACTTTATTTCTAGGCGGACGCTGATGCGTACGTGTACATATTCTAACATGTATTTTAGTAGGAACATTACCAGGGCACCCACCCCCCATTGTCTTGTTTTTTTCTTCCTTTGGCCGGTTTGTGCTATGCACCAGCTTGCCCAGTCAACCCACCACCCACACCAGTTGCCCAGTCAACCCACCACCCACACCAGCTTGCCCAGTCAACCCACCACCCACACCAGCTTGCCCAGTCAACCCACCACCCACACCAGCTTGCCCAATCAACCCACCACCCACACCAATTTGTACAGTTTCTATTTTCAGTTCTTAGATCGGTGTCCAGCCCTACTAGTATTATGTTTTTACCATCATGGGTTGGTTGGTGATGGTTTTGTAACTGTTGTTGGTGTGGGCAATGCTTCGGTCTGGCTCCTGTACGTACTTGGTGCTGTTCGCAAGGTTCCATTGACCTCTACTGTTTAGCCCATAACCGTCGTCGTTGTGCCTGCCGGTGTGCGCTGCATGTCAGTAGTGGTGTGTGCTTGATGAGAAAGATGTGCTTCATGCCAGTCTGCGTGCTGCTGACACAACACATGTGCGATTGTGGTGCGCAGTCTGAACACTACAAATGTACTACTAATACTATACAATATCATGTTACGCTGTTTTCCCCAACACACTACAGTACTGTCGGTCGCCGAAGAACTGGGGGGGGGGGGGGGGCACCCTCCTAGCCTAGACCGTGCTTATTTTAATGTATTACAGTCTATGCACCGTTGGGTCACCGTGTATACATTGGTATGCTGTGCTCGGTAAAATTCTAGCCTGGTTGTTCATTGACATTGGCGGTCCGTTCTTCGGTGCCCGACAGTACATGTATGTACTGTATTATTTTGTTCAGGTGGTCAATACTAGTCTATAAACTGTTTATGGACTCTTGACAGTCAGTCTCTTGTCTTGATACGATCAATGCATCTTTACTGACCCTGTAGTAAACACTCCCTACATAGGCTACAAGTACAATGTAGATCCCTGGGCCCTGCTCTTGACCTCTTCCACGTGCGCCGGATATATCGTGATATCGGTAATAAATTTCGGCGATTTTTTTGCGCTGGTGTTGCCAGGGGCGGCGTCACCGTAACGACAAGGTGTTTTGCGTCATTGCAGCTAACCCTAACCTGGTACAGCGGTAGTAGTACTACTACTAGTAACCAGGCATACTACTAGTACTACTACATGTACTGATGTAGGCATAGCTGACAGACACTGAGAGAGAGACAGCTAGCCGTATCTAGCCGCTACGCATGGTTTCGGCGCGAGCCACATGATTCGTATAAATCAATGACATTCATTGTATGCTGTTTCGAAAGCATTCAGCCTTTCAGGATCGTGAGTCGTGACTGATGTCGGTGATGATATGACGGGAGTGCACAACCAACTCAAATAAGTGTGGCTTTTCAGAAGTCCATTATTGAAAACACTTGAATTCAGTGGAGGTAAGGAATGATTTTATTTGTTGGCACATCAATCAGTGATGTGTTTGTTGGCTAAAATCGAGGCGGACCAGGACACCGACAGGAATTTGGCAGTTTTGTTCCAGTATTGTATGCTTCCCAGACCTAACTAGCAGTACAGTAAGATAGCGGGATAATACTAATTGCACTATCCTGAGCCTATGTCCTGGGAATCATAGCGGCTGTATGCGCTGACTGGGTAGCACTGCTCCGTACAGAGTACTGGGCATAGCGTGCACGACACCCGCGACAGCTGACACAGACTCTACAGAGAGCGGGTGGGAGAAAAACGAGCAGCAATTATTATTGGCTTCGAACCAGGCGTCCCACTGGGGCAAGATTCCCAGGTGCAAAGGGCCAAGACCCAGTATTTCTTTCCATGAATACAGTCCAGACCAAACTGACGATTCGTACCTAATGCAGCACCCTCTACATGAGTTCTGTAGCAATGACTGAATCACTGCTATAGTCGCTAACCCAGTCTGGATGACGCTGAACTACATGAAGGTCATTTGGTACACTGAGCTCCATTCAAACTGCACGGCACTTAACGTACGAGCCTACGATCCTTTAGCCGTGTTAGCCCCAGTTTGCTGTAAAACACAGTAGCCGGCAAGCAGATCAGTCGACGGGGCTCGCCACCAGTGTGAGCTTATCCCGAGCACCTACATACCGGAGAGAGTGCAGTGATCAGTCGGCCTTCATCGTTGGAAATGGCATCGATCGGTGACGTTGCACTGAGTGCCACAGCTAATGGCACCGCTGTTACAAGCAGTGTGTCAAGCAGACAAGCGGCAGACTGTTTCCTTCTCATGGCTGTAGGGCAGATTGAATCAGCAGAGGTGAGGCCATGCAACGAATGTTGTTAATACAACAAATGCATGAAACCCGAACACGCACTCTCGAGAGATCCACCACTGCTAGTTGCTAGTTGTATGCGAGAGCTGAGCTGTCGTGGTGGCAGCACTGCAGGTTATCAGCAGCTGCTTGACTCATGCCACCCAGCCAGCCAGCCTGAGGCAGGGTGGGAAAAGTTCTGAAAGTGCTGCCATGATCAGGTTTCACTGGGCATGACTGACTGCGTAATACTATTACTATTAGAATGTATGCACATGCTAACCTTTCCAGCTCTTCTCATGGCAGTCAATGTGCCCCCAATACCATGAAGATGTGTCCCTTGTGCCTGCAGGACCAGGCACAGGACACACAGTGTTTGTAAAGGAAGGAATCATAGGAAAACGAGGGGTTCCGAAAATCCGCTAATGAAAAACTCACAAAGACACGATTCGACATAGAGCTTTAGAAGTTGCAACTAGATACATTACAGTTGTCTTAGGATCGGTCCAGCCATCTATACCGTTTTCTTAGGTATCATGGATAACAGCTACAATCGTATTCTTGGTGGCAGGATGCTCATGCGACTGTGGCGCTCCCGTCGCTGCTACAAACCGATGTACAGTAGTCTGATGTCATCACACTGTCCTTGATGCTGCTTTACTTCTGTGTGCTGATGTTGTGCATTGCACCATGCAGTTACCGGATCATGACAATCTCTACTGTCGCTACAGCTTTGTCTATGGACAAGATTGGGCAGTGGCAGCTGTGAGTAGTGACAACTTCTACTTGACTGGCTTTGGAAAATTTATTTTTCATTGCTATCAGATTCGGCTTCATTTTCTCTGTGCTGCGCTGACGAGCCCACAAAGGACGAAACAGTTCTGTCCGCAGATTGAGGACAGACTGAACATGTACATGGATTGAGTGTTTGACTGTATTTGGTAAATTTGAAATCATTCCAAACTGTGAACTAGTCCTCACAGTGCTAAAATGTCACAAAATATTCAGCAGAGGTAGTCCTATGACAATACCTACGTCCAGTATCGGGGACGCGGTTTGTTCTCCATTTGCCAACAATTCCCCAACTTGTGTACCGGTCTTCTTTCCTACACCTTGTGCCTCCACCCGATCATGCACATGCATTCAAGTTCATCATAATCATCACATCAACCTGCAGTGATGCATACAGAGACTTCTGGGTCTGTTACCGTCCCCGGCAGCTGAACACTGCGTGTATGCCGGTGTAGTGTAGTAAGTGCATGTATTCCTGTGATGCGGCATGAAGCAGCAGGCCCGCCGGAACCGGTCCAGTTGGTCTGGTAATTGCCAGACCAACTTGCTGGCAACCAGTGCATGGTTAATCAGGCGCGTAGCACCGCCGTTGGCGGTGGTCAGGCCAGGGGGGGGGGGGATCCCCCGCGGAATATTTTTGAAATTAGGGTGCAAAATCCTGCATTCTGGGCACTTTTGGCATTGCTTTACTATGGTGGTTGTGGTCGGGCGAAAAAGTGATCCGGCCAAAGCCGGAGCGGCTGCTTCGCCCCTGTTAATGCTGAGGAGGTTGTGTGAACCCGCTATATCATACACAATTTTTTTTCTTTTTTTTCTTTTCCTTTCCACTTACCCCGTTATCGGCCCTCTTAAGAGTTGTGTGTATCACTGTTGAGGCATCCGATGGTAAATAAAATAAATACTACTAATACTACTACCAAGAATGAAAGGCTATGGCATGGCCGAACCAATGAAAAGCTGCTTCCGGCTGTCCTGCAGTGCTGTCAACTGACTGTGATCAGGTTGGTCCTCTGTGACAGGGTCTGGAAGAAGGAATTGGGCAGATTGCGCAGAAGAGAGTGGACGGCAGTGGATCTCTTCTAGTCTGGAACTTACCGCTGGACATCTCTTTCAAGAGCACGAATCCATTTGGTTGTAAGTACGATCGACTCCACTTTAATATAACGAACTCGCATCTAGCGAATTTCGTGATATAGCGAACCATTGTCTATGTCCCAGTTTGAACCCACAGTGTACGTGCATTTCCCAGTGTTATAACAAACTTTGGCTATAAAGAACTAATTCTCCTGCACAATGCACAATGCACAATGCACAATGCACAATGGTGTTCCTTATATCAAGAGCCTACTGTAGTTGAATGTCAGACACTGATGCCACTGGCTATGATAAAGCCATCTTTTTTTTAAACAGATATAACTATCTTACACACTGCAGTGATTTAGTGCTGCTTCATGGCTGATAATGGCTTTTACAGTCCATTCAGAAAAAGATGGACTTCTAGCTTTTGGCCATACATGGGTCAAACGTTGAGTTTTTTTAGAATTTTTTTCTGCGATCCCCGATGGAATCCTCTTCCAATTATGTTTCTGAAGTCTATTTCTCCAAAAAGCAAGCCATAGAAAGAATAGGATTTCGGCCAGGTTTTGCCACAAGAGCACTGAATTGAGAAAACCCATCAAAAGCCAGGCCGTTTGATCCTGCCTGCAACAGTGCATTGTACGGTTCGAACCCCAGTTCGGGTACCCTTTTTGGACCCTTTTTCAAAATTCAAATTTCAGAGCACTGCACTGTGTACGATAAAATCTTGAAAAATCGCCTAATACAGGAGCTCGCCAGAGCCAGGCCCCATCTTTTGTGAATGGACTGTAGTTCATCCTTGCACCTGCATGCTTCTCGCGGTCTGTGTTGTCTTTACAGGGCCACAGCTGGTTGTAGCGATCTATGGTCTGGACCTGTTTGGACGTGACGTCGTGCGTGGCTACGGATGTGTTCATCTGCCCATGACACCAGGCAGGTGGGTTACACTATGCTTCTATAGACATTATAAAGTCTTGATGATGAGTCAGTGGAATTCCCACCCACATATGGGTGCTAAGTATACAGCGGAACTGCTTATGTGCGCTGTGTACATGTATACAGAGTGAGTTGCTAGTGTATCGCTAGCGTGAGCTGTGTCGCAACTTTGGCAAAACACATCTCAACTGATGATGTTATTGCATGACCTCTATACAGAGTTGCTGTAGTAATTGGAAAGGCTTCCTGTCTGAAGCCTTTCCATACTGGTACTCGATGTTCCAGTTTTGTGACACGAGAATGGCACGAGAATTAGTGTACCGCTGAGTGTACCGCTATACACGTGGTCGACACGTAGTCGACACGTTGTTGATACTTTTTTGACACGTGACCCCGTCAACGGTCTGCTTTGTGCCAATGCCACTCGGTAAACGCCGATGTCGCGTACGACAAAGACGACTATCCCGTACGCGAAATAGTTGAGAATTGCATGACGTGGACCTGACGGCAAGGACAACTGCGAGGAGGCCCCTTTCGGTACCCCTGACGGGAAGGAGAACTGCAGAAGTCGACGAAGTCGAACGAGGAGGCCCCTTTTCCGTACCCCATACTGCAAAGTGCCATTGATGGATACCTTTTGCACCTGGAACGACCCCTTAAACGCTGTCGCGGCGACTATCCCGTACGCGAAATAGTTGAGAACTGCTGACGTGGACCTTTTGCACCTGGAACGGCCCCGTAAACGCTGTCGTGTCGGCGGAGTGAATGTGCAGGGTACTAGGGTGAAAAGAATTGCTGCAAAGACGTCCCCTCTACTAGGCTCTAGGCCTTTGATTTTGGAGACATCGTCGGCGAACTGAATGCGCAGGGCGAAAAGAATTGCTGCAAAGACGTCCGCTCTAGGCCTTTGGAGACATCGTGGGAACTCCTTCCGGTACTATACAAACTGCTGACGTGGCCGTGGGCATGTGCATGGAGAGTCATGGTGGGACTTCATGTACATGGATACATGGTGGGAATTCCTTCCGGCACCCCCGTACCGCAAAGCCAACGGTGGGGAAGGAGAAGTGCAGACGTGCAGGAAGACGAACGAGGAGGAACCAGGACGAGCGAGCAATGGCAGGACTAGCTGGACCGTAAGTAATAGCTGAATTGTGCATGACAACTTGACATCCATGCGGCACTCGCCACTTGCCACTGCATATTTCTTGTCCACTAACAATGTCTCTCCTCTGCCCCCTGTGTGTCCACGGCCCTGTTGCTGAATTGGCCCGATGAATCGGGCGACTGAATGCGCAGGAGGGAAAATATTGCTGCGAAGACGTCTCCTCTAGACGACGGTAAGGCACCCCATTGATACGGTATGTTGCCAGTGTGTGCCAGGGTATCGCGCGATGGTGAATGAGGAATGATGGGACTGTAGACCTGTTACCTTCTACTAACACGTTATCAGGTGGAGAGTGTCTTGTACTCACGTTATCAGGTCGAGAGCGTATTGTAGTCACTCTCTCTATTCCTGTACTTCATTACGTTTAAGGTGTACGTATAACTTCTCAAAAAAATTTAATGGTCTACAGTCGTGTCGGAAGGGTACGGTGGGACTGTAGACATGTTACCTTCTAAGGGTAGGGAGTTCAGTTCCGGTCACAGAAAAGCGAAAAGTGCAGTCACAGCTCGCCTGTACAAAGTGAATGGGCGCCTCGTGGCTGCAGTTCGAGATGCAGTTCGCGGCCCGAGTATCTTCTCCCGCGGCATTTTCGGCCTTGTCGATGCTATTTTTAGGTAGCTGAGGTCATTACCTTTCCAATGGTGCCACACATGCCATGCTTCCAAAAATAATGCCTCCGCGCTTGGCGCGGGTGCACTTCGAAGTACTAATTTCGACCAGATCCGTACTCGGCTTCGCGAGGAACACCCGATTTTCGTGTTCAGCGGCCTCGAATTAGCCTAAACCAAGAGGATTCTACAACATTGAGGCTCGCGCTTTATCGCCGTAGAAGGAAAATGATCACAGAAACCAGCCCACGGCGATTTCCTGGTGGTAGACGAAAAAATCGAGTGAACTGCGCGCACACTGGTAGAAGCAGTGACAGTGAAAACGTGTGACTTGTGCAAGTCGGCGCGCACGGCATGCGTGCACACTGCATGCATGCACACATCCTGTATCGCCATGTATGCACCAGATAGTGCATTGCTGGACGGAAACCACACGGCTCCCATACATACTTGCATTTACTTCTGTGACTACTTTCTCCCCCGTTTTCCGATCTTCAATCGACTATAACTCTAGATTGCCTTGGAATTTTGGGTTCAAATTCTCACAGGTTGTTTCTCGATTCTTCCCGGTTTAGAAAAACTAGCGTTTTATGCAAAACTCGCGAATTTGATTTATCAATTGAAGTCCCTACTAAGGGCCTGTCCAGACTAGGTAGAAAACCACGTAAACACGCCGTAAACATGCTTGTTGCCAAGGTGAGTGACGAAAAATGGCCGAAAACGGGGAACGTGGGATTCACGCGGAACGTGAGTCGCGGACCCCTGTACAAAGCACGTTTCTCATCTACGTGCCGTTTTCGCAGTGTTTGTTGTGTGGGAGTCGATGGAGTTTGTGGATCGCAGTTTTTTCTTGCTGTTTCCAGCTGCCGCTTGTTTTCGCTTTGGAGTTGCCACACGTCCGTTTCAGCGACCACTCGGAGGCGACATTGATACAGTCATGGCTGGACATGCAGAGAAATCCCGGGGGTCTGATGAAGAGGAAGGTGTAGTAGCGAGACTCGGAGAATTCACTGAAAATTTGATCTAGCACTGATTTGAAAGAATTGTTTGGAGAGGAAGCAGAACCCTCTTGTGACCAAAATTGACAACATGAAGGCCAAAGCCAGGGACCTTTACTGGAAATACACGGCGGCCACCAACACTGGTTCGTCAAGCGATGCTACAGCCGGCCTCGACCTTGGCGCTGCGCTGCCGCGAGAGTCACCCGGTGGCCAAATTTCCACACCTGGAACAGAGTTCAGGGTGATATTCCTTGAGCTCGGCGTCAGTGCTGCCATCGCTGGGCCGCCACTTGTTTTGTAGCTAGCTGGGTAGGTCTAGACCAAGCCAGGGAGTCCTTTCCTGGTCTACGCGATACAAACTTGTGCAATAGAGAAAATATGGGTAATCATGCAGTTTAGGGTCCCAAATTATTTCGCACTTTCCCAGTGTTCAGTGTACTGTCACACGCGTTTTCAGTGTACTTTCACATCATGAACTTTATTTTCATGAAAACATGATTGTGTACTTTCACTATGCTTCTTCTTTTCTCGTGTCAAAGTTTTGTTTCCTTTGTCAAAGTTTTGTCTCCTTTATGGAAGTTTTTCTTTGACTTTGTGGTAATGCTGGCGGCGTCCCGGAGCGCCGATACGCATTGTCCCTCAGGCACACATTCTATAATGATCATGCGATTTTGATGGAGAAGTGGACGGTGTTCACACTAGTGCCGATCTTTTCCAGAACCCAACTTGGTCAACTGGAGTTCCTTGCCGCTCGGCGCTGTATCAGCAACGAAATGCCTTGTGCCAAGTGTGGGGCGCTATGTGGCCTCACTAGACGGCAGGAGAGCAGCGACGGGTTTCGCTGGAGATGCCGACTGTATGTCCGGAGCGTTCGCGGTGGTTCTTTTTTTCCCTGAAGCGCAACTTCGGCACATCGCGAGAGTTGTTCCCGACGTACCTCTGCGAGTTCGTGTGGAGACACTGAGTTCGCGCGGAAGACAACACGTTCGGCTCCCTGCTCCGCAGTGTTCACCAGCAGTACCCAGTCTGATCTGTCCTCGGTTTTCATGAAAATATAGTTTAATTATGATGTGAAAGTACACTGAAAACGCGTGTGACAGTACACTGAACACTGGGAAAGTGCGAAATAATTTGGGACCCTAAACTGCATGATTACCAAAATATGAACAGGTAGGTCTACACGACGTAGTTACACTGGTGACAGAGTGCAGTGTGGACAGAGCATCGCGTGTACGTGACGTACTCTAAAACGGCACGCCGTTTTTATTACATAGTGTGGATAGGCCCTAACACGTTATCAGGTGGAGAGTGTCTTGTACTCACGTTATCACTATATCAGGTAGGATATTAGGTCGAGAGCGTATTGTAGTCACCAGGTCACTCTCTCTATTCCTGTACTTCATTACGTTTCAGGTGTACGTATAACTTTTCCAAAAAATTTAATGGTTCACGTCTTCAGATAGAGAGCGTATTGCACCCACTGTCTAGTCTCTGTAGTGCATTGAGATTTTGTTGATCGAACATGAAATGGATACACAGACAAAGCCAGGCCAAGTACATGGCGAGATGTCGCCAGAAGAACGTCTTCAGGTAGAGCGCGTATTGCACCCACTGTCTAGTCGATTTTGTGGATCGCACATGAAATGGATACACAGACAAAGCAGGCCAAGTACATGAGAGAGTGGACGATGTGCAGATCGACACGGCCTGCGGGTACTTCATTAAAGTTACCCGTGACATAACTAGGATAAAAGTTAATCACTGCAAAAACATTGCCAAGTATGTGAGCACTTTGGACTTGACAGAAGAGTGCACGGGCGACGTTGACAAAACATACTGCGGTGACTGTCACTATCATGACAGCAGGGCACATCGCACGCAGCATCGCAGATCGTGTAGAATTGCGCATCATAATATTGCAAAATTGCTCCTGTGCATGCAAGTGGATTTCATTGCACTTCTCAGTTTGAGAAATGCTCGATTATGACAATTCTGCGTGTGAGTGCACTAGCCCTGAACAGACATGTAGGTGAACCGTTTGTAGTGTCTCATAGCCTACCTCACGACCTTCTGCTTTCTTTCTTCATCACTTGTATCTTGCAGGTATATCATCCTGTGACGACCACATTGAAGTCTGAATTTGAAGTGTGAAGATGCTTCAGCAACCACATCGTACTTTTCTATTGCTTTCATTGTGCTGCTACTGTGCATGTGTGTAACTTGTGGGGTAAACATCTGATGACATTGTATGCTGGCGACACGGTCAGATGTTCATGCGTCTAACGTACACCTGCATGTTATGCATTGAAAAGGGTTTGCCACTTGCGATCCTGGGACGAGTATCAGGTCCGCTTTGTCCTGTGTGGGCTGTATCAGATTGCTGTTCACTTCTCTATCTGTTGGATATGTGACTTTCTGCAAGTTTCTGGTGTATGATGGCCACATCCTTGCTTGTCACTTTGTATGATATTACATTCTGTATTCGCTGCTTCCATGGCATGGTCTGCAAACTGCAATCCTTGGGCAAATGTCATGTTTGCTATGTTGTGCTTTGGCCGTCAGCTTGTCTACACGCTGTAGTTGAATTATTTTTGTTTCACAACTGACTTCCTCAAGTACGGTGGCCACTGCTTTGCATGGCATTATACATGAAGAATTTCCTGTTTGTGTCGTGTGCATGTGCGTATGTGTGCGTGGCCACGTGTGTGTGCCGTGTGCATACACATGTTTGTGTATCTGTCTGCGGGGTAGCGAGGCGGGGAGGGCTGGTATGTATCAGTGTGTTATTGCAGTCGCATGGCTACATACAGTACATCGCGCGCGTGGTCATCATGTTTACCTTCGGGGTTGGGGTGGGGAGGGAACGGAAAAAGAGCTGAAATTATCCATATAAAAATCGCTCTGTGAGCGGTTCTGAAAAACCTTTACTGGTACTGCCCTGTCGTAAAAGTAAGAAATTAGAACTGGCCCATTGTCCCCCCAAATGCGAACTGATCCACCTAAATCGCGAATGACGGGACCCGAACGCACCAGTAGCACGAGGTTCCTACCTGTGGATGCAGATGGGGACGTTGGTCCGGACCATAGGCCATGTACTGTACTAGCGGTAGGCTTCCCTATCAAAATAATAAATTCTACTGCTACTACTGGTGTTACCCTATGATAATTGCCGTGATCCTGTGCCCTCCCGACCTCGTGCTACTGGTGCGTTCGGGTCCCGTCATTCGCGATTTAGGTGGATCAGTTCGCATTTGGGGGGACAATGGGCCAGTTCTAATTTCTTACTTTTACGACGGGGCAGTACCAGTAAAGGTTTTTCAGAACCGCTCACAGAGCGATTTTTATATGGATAATGTATGTATAGACTGATTACAGGATAGCCTTTAAGACAGGTCAGAGTGGCAGCAGACGAATATCACGGTACTTGTTCATCACAAGTCAGTGATCATACCCAGGTAATGCCTAGACAGTAGTATGCCAATGTTTAATTTTAATGATAGCTTGCATAGACCTCGGTCCTACCGGTAGGACCTACCGGTAGGACCATCATACACAGACATGCTGCATGGCCTCTGTTCTAACATTGACCTAAAACTTGACCCTAAACTGTTGCTAAGGGGCTAATGAAGGAGTCCACAAATTTTAGACTTGATCGCACCAAGCATACTACGAAATTCCATGGTAACAACCCATGGTAACCATGGAAACGGAGTATGATATTATGCATTTCACGACCTTGGCAAGCTAATAAAAACATTAGGACCTCACCACAATTGATGTGCCATGGTCAAAATTCACTTTGGACAGAGTTGCTAGCGCACCGACAGGATTATGTGCGGCCATTTTGACAATCGATAAAACTGCGCATACACAATGCACTGGACATAGCCTTGCATTTTGCGCCATTACTTTGCCTGACAAAGACCTCATCTCAACAATTGTTTCAAAATATTTCTCAACCAAAAGCACTTTTGCAGCTCGATTTCTTGGGTCCTACCGGTAGGACGGTATGCAAGCTATCATTAAAACTACACTGGCTCATGTGCAAAGCGCGGCTACACCACTACCCATCGTACTGATCACTGCCACATCCGTGCCTTCCACCACGACGGCTCACCATTGCGTCGACCATTCATGCACCACTTTCCCATCCGAAGGTTTTCAAAAAGCCGATCTATTTCTCTGGCTTTTCTGCTTGTGTGATCTTAGGCATTGGCTGAAACTTCCCGTTTTCGTCCCGCAGCCATCCTCACGAATCCAAGCGATATCGAGGTAGGTATCAACACAAGTGCATGGTTTCCCGCGCTGTGACCACTCAGCTAAGCATGCACTGTGTGTGTGCAGTGATGTTGTACGTATCAATGTAACGTACATTGTACTTCACCTGTCGCGCCACATCGCCTGCTGGCCTTGTGCGGAAATCCGCCAATGATTGGACCAGCTAATAAGCAATGGACACACTGCACGCATGTTTTTGTGACATATTCTGCCTCAATACCATTGTTACCATGTCCAGATGGGGATAGTCAGTCAGCCTGTAGAACTGTGTCGGAGTACAGCTGTATGCACGAGTAGATGTAGCTAGTGTCGTGTGCAGAGCACTGTAGGCAGGCCGGCACCATGGGGCCAGCTCAGGGGGCGTAGCAGCAGGTTCAGCCGGTCCGGCTTTGGCCGGACCACTTTTGGCCGGACCACTTTTTTTAACACAATGCCAAAAGTGCCCAGAATGCAGGATTTTACACCCAAATTTCAAAAATTTCACGGGGGATACCCCGCACCCCCCTCCAGCCCGACCGCCTCCAACAGCAATGCTATGCACCTGCAACTGGTGTGGATACTTAGACAGGATGTTGTGAATTAGCAACCACACTACTAGACTGTTTATCTCTAGAGCCTTTTCGTTTTGTCACGACTCACAAGTGTATAATGCAACAGGATGAAACTGTAAGAGCTTTGTCTTGGCCATTCGGTATTTGAATACCGGCCCCGTGTGGAACGGGAATGAACTCAGCACTGACTGGGATCTCTTGTAAAGCTGGGAGTGCTTCAGTACTGAAAAGTGCACCCCCCCCCCCCCCCCTCCCACACCCCTGAAGTGGAGCACGTGTAGTGGGCTATGGCAATGCCTAACTGAGGACACTTCCGTGCATGTTCTTCTCTGTGCTTGATTGCTGCATAGCTGGCTAACTGGTCGCTATCCAGAATTCATTGAGCTAGGCTTCGTTGCCAGAAGTCGTGGCCGAGAAGGTATGTTTCTCTGTAAAGTGTGTGTGTATGTGTGCGTGTGTGTGTGTGTGTGTGTGTGTGTGTGTGTGTGTGTGTGTGTGTGTGTGTGTGTGCGTGTGTATGTGTGTGTGTGTGTATGTGTGCGTGTGTATGTGTGTGTGTATGTTGGTTACTGGTCTGTTGGTTTCAGTACTGCATGTCTCATCCTGCAGCGTTGTGTCTCAAGGGGTTTGTATGTCACAGTGCATATGCATGAACACCTCCCTCCTGGACTGCATGGGCAGTCCATGATGAGCGGGGGGCGGGGGGGAGCAGTGCCACACATGCACACGTTGACTCTCAAATGCACGGCTGGGCTAAAGGAGTTCTAAGAAGAACCCGACAATGCTCGCTGTAACATTGCTAGAGAACGTAGCAGACTATGTCGAGGAGTTCGATCAGAAGAGCACACTCTCACACGTGGGTATGCTGTGTTGTCCGTTGTGCGTCCTGTCCCGGTCATCCTTGCTATCTTTGATCATCCATCACGGTCACCGTGGCCAGTGACACAGGTGTCAACACAAGGACACGTGACTGTGATGTTGAACATTGTCACCAAGGACCTGAAAACGCTGGGATACTCTGCGGGACAGCCGGCACTCCCCGTTGACATGCCCACAATGGCACAGAGCAGGGTGTCGGCGGCGGCTGGTGAGAAGAAGACATCATGAGATGCACACGACGAGCGGTGCGAGATGAGAAGCCGCTTGCCGTGTTTTTCTGGGCTACTGTGCTGTTGACAGAGACCTGTGCATGGCTGACCAGTCAGCCTTGATGCTTTCACTGTGACTGTACATGTTGAGATAGCTGACGGACATACTGCCACAAGTCAGCAACAGTAACCTGTCTATATACCAGGGTCAGCGCTGTATGCAAACACAATGGCCCCTGCATGCAGCGCCATCATGCCCACTCATTACAGATTGAATGTAGCTATCCATTGTCTCCTCCACTACACAATTATCCAATGAAATCTGAACATCTGATTTCTCTCTCTCCTCTCTCTCACTCTCTCTCTCTCTCTCTCTCTCTCTCTCTCTCTCTCTCTCTCTCTCTCTCTCTCTCTCTCTCACACACACACACACACACACACACACACACACACACACACACACACACACACACACACACACACACACACACACACACACACACACTCTCTCTCTCTCTCTCCCTGGTCCCGAGCCCGTGACATCCGTTTGTGCTATACCGTTAATGGTATACCTGTGCAAGGTTGCGGGGAGCCTGGCGCTGTAGTTCAGATTTCAGTGATTATTTAAACTCATTTTCGGAGTGTATCACGGCTTGACGCTAGAAATTCCTGAGCAGCTATGCACTTGGAGAGTATGAGCCAGCCTGCTAAATGAGCTCCACAGTAACACCAGGCGCTGAAGTCAATGACATCACTGACGGTCGAGTCCAGAGTCATGACATCACTGATGAGCCAGAGACTAGCGGCAACAGCATATGAATGCTGCAGAGGTCATGCAACTGATGCCATCACGGTAGGGAGTCAGCAGAACCGCTTATGGGCACTATCAAAAGTACATAAACTCCCAAGAATGTGCAACTCTAGATACTAGTACTCTTTCTATGGGGTCTGCCGACAGTGAAAACTCACATCGCATGGTGTAGTGTTCCCAATGTACGTTCCCAGCCTGTTCAGTTAGTGACCAACAGAGGTAAGAAAACAGCCATCAGCATGATCATGGTAGATATTTCCGAATTTCGCTCACGCTATCCTTCGTCGTACATAGTACAAATCGTACCTGGAACACGTGAGATAAGTTATCACCGCCGGAGACAGTATATGCAGAGTTGCACAATCTTGGGAGCTTATTTACTCTTGGCGCTATGTATATGGGCTGAGTCAGCGGAACCGCGTATGGACGCCGCTATGTATACAGCGGGAGTCATTATGTAGTGAGTCGCTAGTGTATCGCTGCGCCGCAACTTTCCCAAAGCATCTCAGCTGATGATGTCATCACATAATCTCTATAGGTATAGTCTTTGCTGCATGTAATCCAGTGACATCAGAAGGTGTGGCACACACACACACACACACACACACACACACACACACACACACACACACACACACACACATACACACGCACACATGTATGCCAGACACTCCATGAGCACTTGTCATTCCTTAGCAACTGTATTCCCGTTTGAAAGAAGAAGATAGCATTAAAAGCTGCCGGATAGATCTGAACTATGCAGATGTAGAGAATAATTATAGCGCTGAATTTGAGAAAATTACCCAATTAATTAATTATGATACTGGAATAAAATTTAAACCAAGAAGATGAAGTTTAGAAAAGTGAAATCTAAGCGATGTGGGCTGCTTGCAGTGTATTAGAGCTATCCAAACTGCTATGACAGTGCCACAAAACAATGTTTGGTGCGTGTGCAAAACGTATTGCATGTTGATCATGTGTCCTTAGTAGTACACACTATCGAAATAGATACCTTAGTTCAAAGAGCTGCGGAGTCCTCCAGCCTCAGCCGAAGTAGTAGTAGTAGTAGTAGTAGTAGTAGTAGTAGGCTTACTGTGTTATATTCTATGACAGGGATGATGCAGTGAGGTAGTATTGATGATACGCTAGCTACAGACATTATGTATGTGGTAGTATTGATACACTGCAGACATGCATAGCTTGTTACGTTTAGAAGCGGTGCAGTGCAAACAGAAGAAGCAGAAGACAAGAATCAAAAGGCTAATCCGATCGAAGATTGCCGATATTATCAATCAACTACATGCTTGTGTCTAGACCAAATAGAATTTTAGAACGAACTGTGCCTGTGCCGTACTACAAATAAATAAATATGCTGTACTAAATCCGGTGGCATGTGTATATAATTGCATACAGATTGACCATCGAAAGAAATTTAAGACTTATAGGCTAATTTTGCTTACATTTTAGGATCTGGCGCATTTTAAATATTAGAAGCCTCGACTATAAGGTTTGATAAAAACTAATTAATTTGACGAATTCAGAACATTTATTAGAGTTGTAATTGTAATTGTTACTTTACGTATGATGCTTGTATCTAACCAGGGGTCCTCTCTGCTTTCACACGTTGGAAGTAGATCTGTCAGTAAACTATGAGCTAACGTAACTACAGGCTTCGGTTACTCATCACTTTCCTCGTTGCACGATCCACCGTACAGCTGAGCAGCTAGAGCTAGCTGATACCAGTTTCAAGGTTATGATGTTGGAGGCCTCCCCCTCCCAGCTACATGGATATAAGGATTGGAAGAGAAGTGGGCATAGATCACTATCACGCATCAATGCTTAGATCAATACGTCTTTGCCAATGTCCCAGAGATTTCCTTCCGGATCTAGCAAGCCCGTCTTCTCTGGCTTCTCCACCGGGTCATTGCTTAATAGGGATATCTCGCCACCTGCGTGACCAAATGATAGTGATGGCTCAGCCATAGACATTTCCTTCAGCCAATCCAAGGTAGCATCTGGAATGATGCATGTCGCCAATAGTACAGGTGATGCTGTTAGAGTGCTTTCGAAAGGAACATCACCACCATCCTCCTCCTCATCATCATCGTCAGTGGCTGCATAGTCAAGGGCAATGACAAGTTTTGATTCCTCGTCGTCGTCACTGTCTGCCTTGGACTCTGGAGATTCCAGGGAGAAGCTGAACAGTTGATCTGTGTCGATGCTCAGCAAACTCTCGATGTCTTGGCATTTTTGTGCAAGTAGATCATCGCAGAACAAGGAGGGTAGTGACAGACTACTGCTATCCTCTGAGCTTGTGCTGCTGTTGTCATCCCAGGATGACGCACTGCTGCACGGACTCAGCGCTGACAGGGATGGCGATGGTGATGAGCAAGGGCTACTCAGGTCGGAGATTAGCTCACCAACGACACGCTCGTCCAGATCCGTGTCACTGCTGCTACCAGGGTCTGTGCTGCTGCAACTTATGGGACTGTCTATGAATGAGTCGGACAGTACAAGGGATACAGCCTCTGGCAGCAACGAGTCAATGTCCGCGTCCAGAAGGTCGTCCAGCAATTTGGTATCCATCGTTGAAGATGATCGTGAAGGTGGTGGTGGTCTCAGGCTAGTCCTGCTCAGAAGCGCTGTGCTTGCTGGTGATGCTGCTGGTGCTTCGGTTGGTGCTGCTGCTGGTGCTTCGGTTGGTGCTGCTGCTGGTGGTGATGCTGCTATTGACACTGTATCCTCCTCTTTCCTTCTTCTACTCTCGGGCTGGTAATATGGTGATGGAGGTACGAATGGGGAAGGTGCGGGCATTGTATCATGCTGATAGACAGGTAGAGCAAGGCTGGGTGCTTGTAGGTGTAGACCAATGCTACTTCTGTTACTGTACATTGTCGGTGCCGCCATTGCATGCATGCCAAGTGCTGCAGAGTGAGCTTGCCAGGCCTGCTGCTGCTGTTGGTGTTGCTGCTGGTGGTGTTGCTGCTGTTGGTGTTGCTGCTGTTGGTGTTGCTGCTGTTGGTGTTGCTGCTGTTGCCAGAGTCGAAGCTGCATCTTCACGTCCGTCTCGTCGTCAGTGTAGTGGCCAAGCGCGTACGGCGACGGTTTGTAGTGGCCCGGCAATTGATCTTCATTCGGACGTCTCATCCGCCTTCGTCTCTTGTAGTTGCCTCTTTCAAACATGTGCTCGCAGTTCGGTGCCACCATCCAGTGGCCTCCTTTTCTCTCCCGACCTCTGGTCTTCTCCTGATAGAAGCATTTGTTCAAGGACAGGTTATGTCTGACGGAGTTCTTCCAGCCTTTGGACGGTCGCAGGTTGCGATAGTACGGAAATCGTTCCTCAATAAAGTTGTAGATCTGGGTTAGGGTGAGTTTGCCATCCTCCGATTGGAGAATGGCCATGGCAATGAGAGCTACGTACGAGTAGGGTGGCTTGACGTGGTGATCCTGATCGTCCACGTTTGGCTTGATTGTCTCCAGTGTCCGCTCTCGCCACTTGAGGTCGTAACCTTGCTCGACAAGCTCGTCCATCAGCGTCGGACGAGTGCCGACAAAATGCGGTCGCACCAGACTCTCCATTGTTCTGCCAGCGGCGTTGATGGTTTCCGGGTCAACTCTGCCTGCTGAATGCTGCACGACCTGCTTGATGGCGGCTACACCACCATGGCACGGGCACCAGTACAGAGGTGATCAGCTCGTGCAAACCAGTCCGAGCTGGATGACTGGAGTGCTGGAGTGTGATGAGCCCGAGGCAGAGGACAACTGAAATCCAATTCATTCTGCCCTGCTTGATTTATACTAAACTGAAACGGATCAGCTGATCCTGTTACTAGCAATCTGTTTTCGCCACCCGCTGTCGTGGGAGTGGCGAAGAGCTAGCGATTGCGGATATAGCGCCCGTGCTCTGCTGTTGAGGGTTTTTGAAGATTCCTGTTTGGGTCCTCCGACGCTTGTAAGCGGACGGTCCGTGCTCCCTGTGCCAGCCGTCGCTATCACTAAACCCGCGATGCATGCGTCTGTGTGTGACTGGGTGTTCGTTTATTTGCGAACTGCTCGGCCATGCATTCATGCCCGCAATGCTTGACAGATCTTGTAGGTCTACGTGTCGCACCGTGAAGTCTGCATGTCTAACTGACTCTTGGTGCGGGAGCTGTGGTGTTACAGTTATACTAATAGCAGTTGTAGCATTGTCGTTACGACGTTCCTGTTTATGTAACTAGGTGAACTCACGTACTGGACTCCCAGTTTGTCCATAGCATGGCACAATACGGACCAGAGATCTAGTACAAATGCAATTCTTCGTGGTTGATCTACCAAGAGTATTATAATAGGCTCGGCTCCCTGGGAGCTTATGCCAGTGCACGCTTGCAGGTACATGTACTGGTAGGGTTATGCCAGTGCACGCTTGCAGGTACATGTACTGGTAGGGTTATGCTAGTGGGATAGTATTAGTACTACTACTAGATCTACACGAAGTACCTACCTTGGCAAGTAAAATAATTATCAAATCGAACGTTCCTGAACCAGAACTTCTGTTCGGTTTCGGAGACATGTACTTGGACCTGGTGGTAACAGTGCAGATCTGCTTCGTTTGAGAAGCTCCACGTCTCTTGACAGTGGAGAATTCACGGAATCAGAGATGGCACTGACTGCTGGGCGTAGCAAGACCGGCCTGTCCACACGAACACGCTGACTTTTACCAAGCCCACTGGCGCGATTAGTGGTTGGTCTCCTATCTCGGACTGACCCCCATCTCTGGCAAGCATGCAGGACTATACAATCATGTAGTGTTCGACTACACCATACAATGCCTCCGTAGGTAAATATGGAAGGTGTAGGAAAGACGTGACCTCCAGGTGCATGCCCTGCAGCATTCGTTTACTCGCGAGCTAAGCTGGTTGCGACGCAAACACCGGAATTAATCCAGACTTCGGAGGTGCAGCTAGACGAAAAGGGCCAGGAAAGGTGTTGGTACTCATGTTGCGACGAAAAGCGAACAAGCATGGCGAAGAACGACTAACAATTTCCCTTGCTGGAGAGGGAATACTTTGGATTTGAGTGGCGATGCCATTGACAGCACGGGACTATTAACGGTCAGTGCTGCAATGGCAGAATGGCACCCCGAAATCTCACTCCACCTGCCATGTAACTGCGAGTGAAATGTCTTTACACGCCAATCTCCCACTTACCTGTTTAAAAAAATATATTACTAGCGTCTTTATCTTGATACTACAGTATGTGTCGATGGTAGATCTACCCGAGTGTCCTGAGCATCGTGATCCCTGCAGCCAATGGCAATGCTGTAGCGCTGTACGAAGCTGCTACCAAGTATTAGTAATCCCTTGTACTAACTCCAGCCTCCCAGTCACACCACTCCGTGCAGGCATTGGACACTATTGTAACTTTAGTTCATCCCTGGCAAAGCGACGACGATGTAACCTTCCTGGAACCATCGCTCTGAACACAGTACAATCACGCTCTATCAGCCGTGCACATGATAGGCGAGTGCACTGCTGCTGTTGTTGGAGGAGGTAATACTTGAAGCTGATTCCTATCCGCCACGGTTGCTGGCGTAGACCATGACCGCAGTGCAGATTAAAAGGCAGCACAGAAGCGACGGCTGCATCACGTTCCCGCACGACTGCTCTCTCTCGCAAAATTAATATACAATGACCAATATGGCGGCGGTCAAAACTACATGTATCAGGAGGCACATGGCTACTAGTAGTACTAGTATGGGCGAGAGAATCCTAACTGTCAGCCTAAAGGCCCGTCAACCTGATCATCGCCTACGTGTAGTCGTCCGAACAGGAAGCCGTACATGCATAAACCACTAACTGTGGACTCCCTGCGTGTAAATAATTGTAAGAGTACTTTGTTTACCCCATGTACTGTATTTCACTATCAACCATGACTCATGAGAGCAGGCTGCTAAGTAAAACGATTGGCGTGACGTAAACCAGAGGCTTACTCACACACCAGTGAACCAGGTGGACATGCTCCCAAAGGTGGTAAGCGTCTCCGCTCGCATGATGCTACTTGGTTTTACTAGCGCACAGCCAGCTGAGCCAATGCGCGCAGTACTTGATTAGGGTCTCTGGCTCTCTGCTCAGCTCTACCATCACGGGAATGCGGACAGCAATGAGTAAAGCAAAAGGTGGTTCGTAGCGGGTAAACTTACTACTAAAGGAGCGGAGTATTAGAAGAAGAAAAAAAGAAGAAGAAAAGAGTGTTAGAAGAACAGCGTTCGTTTGGGATACAATCGATGAAAAAGTCCATTGCCAGCATTACCTAGGACTAGTAGGAGCTAACTTACTCTTGTTTATGTAGTGTAAAGTAGCACGAAGTAAGATAGTGCTATGTTGTAGTAGGTGCTATAATCAAGAATGTGATCGTACGGAACATCTTTTGCCAGATGTACTAGTAGTACTAGTAATGTTGTCCTGCTTCACATCATGGGGTAGATCGATAACCACGAAGATCAGGTACAGTCACCCACTACTGACTGTACAATACATTCAGAATGCTCCTACTAGTACTACACTCTTCACTCTACACTGTCGTACAGTCTTGCTCAGTGAAAGCAGCGATCACGAAGATGTCGGCGGCCCTCGAATACTGGCCCGTGGATTGTGCCTCGGAGGCAGTCCAAGTACACGTCGTTTCTCTGTAGTCATGTAGTCAACTTCCATCACCAGTCAGTCTAGTGTACACTCTGCAGAGTCTATGCATGCAAACATGGGAATTCGCCGCATTGCTTGGTCTTCCGCGGAAACACAATGTCATTTGCTCTGTGAAGACTAATCAGGACTGCAGGACTGCAGATATGATGGGGGACAGTTTAGTTTGTGGAATTGGGCTAGTGGGTGCCTATCACGGAAACATTGTGTCATCATGGCCTTTTTGATGGTCATTTTTTTCTAGTTGTATAATGCAGCTGCTCATCGCCTCCTCAGCCTCTTCTTCGTCGCTCTCCCCAGACGAAGTGAGGAACCCTATCTCAGGCTTTAAAACATCCCTAACATAAAATTGTAAAGTTTCTCAGAAATACTGGGAATCGATCCGTCACCCTGATGCTGGGAAGGCAATGTTCCTGGCCACCTTGCGAGTCATACATAACACCCTATCTCAGGCTGACAGCAAGATAAGGAATGGTAGGCGTACAGAATGACAAAGTGCTAAAACTACACTAATGTCCCAGGACGTACATGTACTTTGAGAACGGGTTTAATATGGATATGTACTACATGACTGCGGTCAGTTGGAACTAACTTGTGGATACTACTAAAACTACTAGGCCAGTTGGCTTGAAAATGTAGAGCTGTGGCATTACCCGCTTGTGTGGCACTCTTCTTTGTAAGAGTTATGGCTGCATGAGGCTTGTTTTAGCGGATAGACTATACAGTAGATGTGCATGGGTGCAACTGTTCACCAAACACTGTAGCGTGCGTGATTTCGGCGCCATTGCGTGCATGCGCTCAGGCTCCAAGTTATGACCTTGTTCCAGGTTGAAGGGCGACTTGTTTCCTGTTCCGCGCCATCTACACCATGTAAGGTGATCGTGTGTGTGTGTGTATCACAATTTCCAGACACAAATCCGCAACCTGGCTGATACGAGTACACGCTGTTGGACGTAGTCCTTTTACGTCAGTCCCGTCGGTATCTGCAGCTAGACCGCAGTGTTGCCGGGGTCGTATATTCTGTGAGCCCACTGCTGATAAAGGTGATAAGACGTGTGGCAGCCAGTTACAGTTAGTTCAGGGATATCATCATCACAGGGCTCGCACAGTTGAAGAATATTATAAGTAACTTACTGTAAATGCCATTATTCTAACGAGGCGCATAATATTATAATAACGATTTCCCGAAATTGACTGGTTTTAATACGTGTACCAAAGGTAACAATTCTCACGCATTCTCAACGCTCAATAGAACAGTATATGTATCGATATGTATCGATGTATCGATTTATGTATAATATATAACGATTTCTATTTTAACGACAGATTTCTCCTCGTTAACTCGTTAGAGTTAGCACTTCGTTATATATAATAATTATGGCTTTTACAGTACATGTAGTTAGTTGGTCGAGTGGCACTGCCGCTACTACTTACGTTTGTAGCACCACCCCTGACTATATACGCACATCCTTTATTGCTGAACCCACAAAATTAATAATTGTGATACAGATTGTAAACCATTCGAGGTACATGTAAATGAGAAAGCCATTAATAAAAAAGAAAAAGAAGAAAAGGTTATCACCATCCCTGACTCAGTATTACCACGGTAACTTAGTGAAAACTGGTCACGCATGTTGATGACCCCAGTTCACTGAAGACGGGATACAGCCAAGAAGGGAGTGGCGAGTGTGGCTCACTGCGTGTTCTGGGCATGTCCATCCATGTATCTACAAGTAGTTCATTCATTCGCGCCACACTAGTATCAGATACCATAACCAGTGCTGTGCCGCTGCAAGATACAGACAGATACGCTCGGGAACACTACGTCACTGACACTCTTGTCTGTACAGCGACCTGAGCTGTGTTACATGTATGTCGAGGGGTGGACAGATGGATACAGTACCTGCAAGTGCAAGAGTACTCGTATAATAAGTAGTATCTATAAGCTCCCAGCTTACTCTTGGTACCGGGAAGAGTAGAAAACAACACCATAGTACACAACTGTACTCTTGATACCATAAAGTTATAAACCAATGAAAAAGTCAGCCATGCAGTCTGGGGTACATAGTATTAGTATCAAGAGTGCAAGTCATAATTTTTTTCCCTTCCCTCAGCCTATGAATATAAGAGTACAAAAGCTCCTATTTACTCTGTGAAGTTCAGACATCGTTCAGGCATCGTCTGTAGAGGGCTCAATTTGCCGAAGGCAAGAGCGGAATACAGGAACGAGCAGTTG